CCCCTCTTTAAACATCCCCTTTAAACCCCCTCCTTAGACCCTTCTTTACCCCCCTCTTCACTCCCCTTTACCCTTCTTTACTCCCCCTAGTTATCCCCTCCCTTACCTCCCCTTTACCCCCTCCTTGCCCCCCAGCAGAGGCAGGGCCCGGGACCAGCTCCCCCCCCAGCTCTGCGACAAACAAAGCAGGTTTAAAGGCTCAGCCCCGCGGGCCGCGAGGGGCAGCGCTGATGTTGGCTGTATTGGGGTTAAACCACGCCAAAGGGCTTAAATTAAGCAACTCGCCATAAAGGGTTTTAAATAGACACCCGGGAGAGTACCCTGTGGTTGGCTTTTCCTTCCTTGCCAGCTCCTGTCTCCATGCTTCGAGTTGAACTTTGCCAGGCTTTGTTTGGGAGAGCTGTTGCTTTAGCTGGTGGTGTCCGTAGGCAGGAGGGGAGGAATATGCTCTAGGTAAATACATCAGTAGGGCCAGAGAGGGAATATGGCATGGCTTGAGTTTATTTGTGGGGAAATTTAAGGAGGCAACATGAAAACTTGGAGAATTGGGCTCTGCTGTCTGGTTGGGGTTTTTTTTCCCTTCTAAGCTATAATCAGGAGAGCAGCTTGTCTGCCAGCCCACACAGCCTCTGCCTCACCTGGAATAGCCTTCCTTGAGCAGGAGAAGGGATAGAGGGTGACTTTATGGCCCAGTGGGTTCTTCTCTTGGAGTTTTATGAGTGCAATACAGTAGCACTGAATTACAGGATCAAAAAGAGGGAGAGAAACAGGGAGACAGTGTAACTAAATAATTTCAATGTTGAAGATGTCATTAATATAGTTTTCTGTGGGACAAACTCATCAGCTACTCCTCAGACAACTTGTTATATATATTTATTGTGCCATGCAAGTTCTAAGCATAATAGCTCTAATAAACAAATCCATTTTTCCCTTCTCATGGGAGCTGCTTCTCTGTGCTTGGAATGCCCTCTGTGCTTGGAATACCCTCTTTGTTTTCCCCCATGTATGTGGGTTCTTAACAGCTCTTCAGTCTGACTTCGGGGCTTGGAGTTGCATGTAAACAGCAAGTTCATCATTTAACTCCCAAGACAAACTTGTTGGAGTGGTTGTTAATGTCTCCTTTTTTTCTGGAATATTTGTGCAGAGCAAACAGAGCCCTTAAGGGCCAATGTTGGCTGAAACAGCACAATAAAAGTCCCCTGGAATATCTGCACAGAACACTTGAGCTTGCAGAATGCTTCTCCCTGCAGATTCTTGGGGGCTGATGGTCAGCAGTGTTGAAACAAGTGATTTTTCTTCTCCTCTGTTACTCCTGGTTTGCTTTGCTTGTTACAGCTTAGAACTGCATTTTCTTGTAGGCTTTTTTAAATGACTCTTATGACTTACTGTTATTTTTGAGCAGAGGTTTTGTAACCTCCTGGAGCAAAGTCTTGCTATTGTGTTCTCTCAGCTGCTCTGTCAGCTCTTCCCTCTCAGGTTCAGCTGCTCAATATGCTAAATGCCTTTGCTTTGTTTGAAATAGGTGTAGTGCAAGTGGAGCTAATTCCATGTCGACACCAGCCCAGCACTGGGATGTGTGGAGTGCCAAAACCTGCTGCAGACTGTTGTGTTCAAGTAGTGACAGGCTGGATGAGTGAAGTACTGAAAGGTGTAGGTGAAGGTGGGAGAATGTGGAGAGAACAGAATTAATCTTGATCTGAAAATCTAGTTAATCCTGAGATGCTTTTCACATACAAATGTGGCGTAATTCTGACTTAAAACTAGGATTTGGGTTTGGTTTTGTAGGGGTTTTTTGGGGGGGGTTTTTTTTGGGCTAACAAATGCTTAACAAGCCAATTGTAGCTGCTTGTGCATTGCTGACCCAACATTTTTGTGTTTGGAGGATGCAAGTGTGGAATGTAGGAGTATTGACTTGCACAAAACAGCTTGTTTTTTGTTTCAGCACTTGCATAACTGATGTGTTTGACTTTGACACTGCTGCATCTTTGCTGAGCATGGGAATGTGTGCAGCCTTGGCAATAATGCTGAGACTTGTTGTGAGCACAGGTCACACCACGGGAGGGCAAATAAAGAAGGGCCATGGAAGGTGCTGTGCCCAGTGCAGCCACTGCCTGGGAACACCTCCAGGGAAAAGATCTGTCACCATTAAATCCAGTTTTCTTCCCTCCTGACCAGTACAAAGAGCAAGTCTTGAAAATGAGCTGCTAAATCCCAGAGTCAGGAATGTATTAAAGGTGGAACCTGACCAAAGACAGAGGTTATCTAAACATTTGGGCTTGGCTTTGTTGTTGTGTTTTGCTTTTTCTTTTAAAGCCCCAAGCCCAGGGTGTGTTTGCCCAAAGGAAATGTCCCTTCTGATGGTTTGGTGTTTGACAGCACTTCTGGTGTTCCCCTCTCCCCTTGGCTTTCACCTGGAAGCCTGGGGAGGTGCAGAAGGAACCCTAGAGGGTTAAACTTGCCATTTGCAGTCAGGATTGCACAACTCCAGCCATGTTACGTGAGAGCAGTTGGGTGCAGTCAGCTTGTGTCTGAGAGAATGCTGGCTGGGAGGAAACAAGTTACTGCACTAAAGAGGGAACTTCCAGCCTGCTAGAAACAAAAGTCCCCTGGGATTTGGGCAGAAGAAAGAGTATTTGGAAGCCAGGAGGTAGGATGTGCCACAGGGACTTGTTTTTATTTGGCATAATCTGAAGCTATATTTAAGCTGACAAGGGGTTTTCTTTCATAGAGGACTTTGTGCATAAAAGCTGGTGACTCTGTCAGATGTCTGTCCCCAGCCAACAAACAAAGCTGCATCTTGGCTTCTGTTGCTGCAGGCTGTGAGGAAAAGTCATGTTATCTGAATGCTTTGATAGCAGGAGGAGGAGAGGAAATAGGCTTTTGGGCAGAGGCCTGAAAACACTGTGTACCTCAGTGACCTTGATCCACAAATCCCGTTTTCTTGTGCTGTATTGTGGCTGCAGCACTGTATCTTTTGTTAGTTATTTCCATTTCTTACACCTCAAATAGTATCTGGATAAAGGTTTGTCTAGAAAACATCCCCTAAGTAAGAAATGACTCGCAGTGCTGGTTGAAAACTGATCTTAATGTGATGCAGTGGTAGCTCGTGGAAGTGTTTTCTCATTACATGATGCTGACTTGCAGTTCTCACTGCACACCTAGAAGAAATAGAAGCTGGTGGGTGAAGGTGAAGCAGTGCATAACACCTCACTTGAAATGCAGAGCGGCTGCACTTTCTAAGTTCTCATCCCTCTTTATTTAAAGGATCCAGAAGTTGCCACGCACAGGGGTGAAAACTCATCTGGAAGATGTCTGTTGACTCTGCTGGGCCTGGCATTCATCTTGGCAGGGGTGGTTGTCGGTGGAGCCTGCATCTACAAGTACTTCATGCCTAAGGTAACCTGAAAGTCCTTTTTCCTTTAAGCACCACTGAATAAACCCAGTGTAATTACAGCTGGTTTAGCAGAAACCCTTCAGTAACTGGGCCATGGGCACTGTAGCAAAGCTCCAGGTGCGACAGACCTGTGCTTGCTGTTAGAAACACAGCTTAAAGCTTCATTTGGAGTAAATATTCTAGCAGGAGACAAAGAGGGCACAGACTCAAGCTCTGCCAGGGGAGGGTTAGGCTGGATATTAGGAAGAGATTTTTTAGTGAGAGTGATCAGGCATTGGAATGGGCTGCCCAGGGAGGTGGTGGATTCACCATCCCTAGAGGTTTTCAAGCTGAGACTGGAGGTGACACTTAGTACCATGGTCTAGTGACCATGGTAAGGTTGGACTCAATGATTTTGGAGGTCTTTTCCAACCAGGTTGATTCTATGATTCTAAAATAACCAGCCCTGCTCTCGTTGCAGCACAAGGTGTACCGTGGGGAGATGTGTTACTTCGAGAACGAGAGCAGGGACCGGGCAGTGGAGCCTTACTTCCTGCCCATCGCCGAGGAGGCTGATATCCGCGAGGACGACAACATCGCCATCATTGACGTCCCCGTGCCCAAGTTCTCCGACAGCGACCCCGCGGCCATCGTGCACGACTTTGACAGGGTGAGCCTCTGCTGGCACCAGGCACAGCCTGGCACTAGGGCAGTGCTCATCCCCCTGC